AAAATATATAATTTATTGGAACTAAGCTGAAAAAATAAATATGAAGGTCAATTAAATTATAAAACATGAGGTTATTGAGTCAACATTACTTAATTCAGAGTTAAGTTCACTAGCAATAAGTAGTCAAGGTCCCTCCCACTGCACATTCAAAGAAGTGTGCATGCGCAGTTCAGTCTCTCTGGCCCAGAATGCACCAGTACAATCTTTTAGTGTTAAAAATGTTTAAATATAAGAACTAAATTAGCAGTAACATGACTTCAAATTATATTTTCTTTCTTCCTGCTTCTTCCTCCTATCAGCTCAGACACCAGAGTTTTAGCTCCACCTATTTGCTGCTGAAATGGATAATTTTCTGAAAACTCACGGCTGAAAAAGACACAAAAACACTTTTATCTGTGATTCATGAATCGTTTTGAGTTGTGTTCACTAATGTTGTCACATTACACGTTCAGGTTTGATTTGACATTTGTGTTGAAGTTTTAGTTACTGACTGTAGCTGACACCATGAGTGAGAGGTCTGTGTCACAGACATCTAGAGGGAAGATGACCAGGATTAATTACTGTCCTAAGATAAGTTCCTTTCTATGTATGTAAAGGTGTTGTCTATGCTGACACATGGATGGTAATATGATGAAAATTAGCACATTAGCTTCCACCAATTCCACCAGGCCTGTGTGGCCTAGCTGCAGCAGAGATGCAGATTATGTCTGTGTTTCTATTGTGTTGAGGTAACTAAAGAATTGAAGGCAATTGGTTTCCTCAAATTAATTGAGTAGCTGGAAGTTGTGACAACTAGAATGTTATAATTTCATTAGAGGAATAAAACTGAGTAACATAATCTAAATTGGATCATCTTTAAATAAATTTTACCAAGTTAGTCTGACTCAATGCAGATGAGTACTAACAACACATTTTAAATAGGTTAAAGGCACAGTGTGTAGGATTAGTTGTTTTCAGCGACATCTAGTGGTTGAGTGGTTGAATCATCCTCCCTGGTCCTCCCCCC